AAAAAAAAAGTATTATTATGACAATACAAAGCATAAATACTTTAAGTGCTGCCTGACTTTTGTGTTACTGTTAATACACAAGCAAAAAAAGAACAAACAAAATATGATTACATATATTTTCCATCCATAATAATAATAACTGGAGCTATTTTAGTGTCACAATATAATATAAAATGTGTATTTTTCTATTTATTTTGCAGTGGATCTTGTAAAATTTTTATTTTTATCCAATTTACACTTTACTTAGAAAACATTTTGGAAATAAAGTAACACTTTAGCCTTTTCTGGTCAGATTATGCTACCATTTATACAGTGACTGCCCTACAATATATAGTGCCTGGAGGTGACTGTTGTTGTGATTTGGTGCTACAGAAGTGAATTTAATTTTTTCAACAAAAAAGCACATTTGTATTCTTTCCGTTTTGTCTTAAAATTTTTCAGCTTTATTCTTGAATTCTCAGTAATTTTTGTAATTTTATTGTACCATATATTTCCATTAGATTCATCCAAAATTATTTAGGCTCACCACTTGCTTGCCTTTTGATTTTTTAGTTTTTCACTTTATTATTTAAATTAAATTTAATTAACTGTGGTTTTTCAGCATTTTGTTGCTCTATGCAAATGCTTGTGTGTGCAGGCAGTTCCTTTCAGAGGTCATATCCCAGGAGGAATGCAGCTGGGAAAAAGGATCATAGTGATTGGTACTGTGAATCCCCATCCTGATAGGTAGAAATGTTTTGTGTAATTACTGACTTTCCATCCTTCCCACAGTATTACCACACTATATATGAGATCCTTCTTCCCCCCATACCTATTCCTTTAAAATTATTTAATATGAAGGCAGCATGAGCAGAGTGTTACAGGCCCTTTAAGAATGTTGCATCATGGTCAGTGTAGTCTGTGCTGCAGGGGGAATGTGTGGGACAGCCCCTCCCGTTGTGTGGGTGTGAGGGTGAGGGAGGGAGAAAAAGGAGGGTCAAAAAGTACGAGTTGCTGCTGATGAGAAACAGAAATGAAAGCATGTAAATATAATAATAACCACTGCAGCCAGTGCAGAGTGCCTGATGAGTTAGTTAAGCATGAGAAAAACAATTGTGCTTACATTTGCAGTTTTGTCTTATTATACAATATTTAAAATAAAAAACTACATTTTTGGAAATATTTGTGGATGTTTTCTTTTTTGTTCTGATTGAATACTTAAGTGGCCCTCCAATGAGATGACAGTGCCAGCAGTGGCCCCTAGCAGCTCTGAGTTTGAGACAGCTGCCTTAAAGACTTTTGAAGTGAATGCTGAAGAAATGTTATCTAGACAGAATTTAAAACAGGTCTCTGTGACTTTGAGGGGTAAGTTGGGCTTAAAGTCAGTGACATCAGTACGGTAATCGCCTCTCCTACAGAGATTTCTCCATTATTCGAGTCCAGAACGATGCCTGATTGTAGGATTCCCTTTTGAGAAACCACTGCATATAAAATTCATTTATTATGTGATAATCTAAGGAAAGGTGTGGCCAGATTCACACTGTCTATCCATCCCCCTGTTAGGTTCTACATTGCCCTGACATGTGGTTGTGGCACATCCAGGGAGCCTCCACCTGATGTGGCTCTGGAGATGTGTGTTCGGTTCAAGGACAGACAAGTGCTACGAAGAGCCTGCATGTCTGGATCCTGGGGAGATGTTGACAAAGCCGTTCCTTTTTTCCCCTTCATCAGAGACCAGCCCTTCAAGGTACCATAGACTTGTTGATACTGTAATGGCATTTATGAGTTTATGCTATACATATAAA